ACTATACATATTATTTGTAAATTAAATACTTAAGGATTGAACATTAATACTCAAATTTTTTTTTACTGTTGGGATGAGCAATCAAAAAGTTTACAGACCATTGGTCTAAAGTAGTCCCTATCACTGCACTTTCATTTTTACCTGCCCCTTCCACAGTTAAGCTGTAGAGGCTAAGATCTGATGCTGAAAAAAGAACAAAGGAAAACTATTCCCAAACTATTTTAAACTCCCACCAACAAGCTAAAAGGTAGTAAATCACTAGCAAGAATATATGGAATTGCACAGGGAGCTCAGCTCGGTGCTCTGTGTCAACCTAAATGGGTGGGATGGGTGAGTGGAAGGGAGGTCCAAGAGGAAGGGGATATATGCATACATATAGCTGATTCACTTCATTGTACAGCAGAAACTAACACAATATTGTAAAGCAATTTTACCCCAATTAAAAAAAAAAGAATACATGGAATTGGACACTGATATTCTCTTGCTGAGACTTTAAAATAGCATCCTATCTAGAGGGTGCCCTGAGTATATTCAAATTTAAAAAACAAAACCCGGGGCTTCCCTGGTGGCTCAGTGGTTAAGAATCTGCCTGTCAATGCAGGAGACACGGGTTCAAGTCCTGGTCCGGGAAGATCCCACATGCCGCAGAGCTACTAAGCCCGTGCGCCACAACTACTGAGCCTGCGCTCTAGAGCCTGCAGGCCACAACTACTGAGCCCGTGTGTCACAACTACTGAAGCCCGTGCGCCTAGAGCCTGTGCTCCACAACAAGAAAAGCCACTGCAGTGAGAAGCCCGCACACCGCAATGAAGAGTAGCTCCCGCTCGCCACAACTAGAGGAAGCCTGGGTGCAGAAACGAAGACCCAACGCAGCCAAAAATAAATTAAAAAAAAAACCCTTTGCCAGGTAAGCCCACTTTTAGGAATTTAGCCTAAGGAAACAATAGCACATGTATTTTAAAAGTCCAAACAAGGGAATTCCCTGGCAGTACAGTGGTTAGGGCTCCATGCTTCCACTGCAGGGAGCACAGGTTTGATCCCTGGTCGGGGAAGCAAAATCCCGCAAGACATGCGGTGCAGAAAAACAAAAAAAAAAGAAAAGAAAAAATACATTTTATGTTGCAACTCAATACACATATATAAATGTATAAAACAACAAAAGTTTCCCAAATCAATAATTATTTTTACCATTTTTGATGTGCTGATATTTTCTAGTTTTTAGAAATCACCACGTTGATTTCACTACCCTATGACGTTGCCACCTGCCATTTAGAAAACAGAGCCCTACAACTTTACACAGAATGTACAAAACTCCTTGACCCTTCCACTTTCTACCACCGTTCTAACATAACAAAATGTGTGAAATCTAGCAAGTCTACTCCAAGTGCAAACCTGGGCACAAATGTAAGACTCCCAGATCCCTCTGAAGTTTCTTGAAACACTGACCATTTCTATTGGCAGACTGGTACAAGTGCTTGCTAAAAGGTTTCTCCAGGCACAGTACAGACATTTTGTTGTTGCTTTACCAGAGATATTAGTAAATTCTGCACTTGACAGCAGATACCAGATTTTACCACTGCTCCACAAGCCAACTCTTCCAGGAAAATAGGATTGTAATACAATATGACTCCATTATCATCCCCTTACATTTTTAGATTGCTTTTCATATACACCACTCCATTTGATCCTCACTGACAGGTTGATATAAACAGAGAATTTGCTCTTCTTCCTTTTACTAATGAAGGAACTGAAGCTCAGAAGGGTTATGTGGTTTGCCAGAAACAATACAGCTAATGAGAAGCAAAACCCAGGCTTGAACCCAGGACTCACTGGTCATCCAATGCCATGCTACAATAGTTTTCACTTTGAACATCTGATACAAATGTGAATTTAAAAGGTATGTTAAGGTTCTAGGTGCAAAAGTGAAGATACAAGCATGAAATTAAAATTAAAAATAACAATGAATATTAACAATTTTCTAGCCTCTAAAATTATTGGGAATCCTAATTCAATTGGATATGTATTTAATCTCATGCTTTGTCTTAAGTTTCACTGATTATAAAATTACATATAAATTCACCACAGAAAATTACAAAATTGGGTGGTCTGTAAGAAACAGCTGACCACATAAATTACACAAACTTCCCCCGAACCATTCTTAATCTTGTGGCTTCACACTAAATTTTGAAGTTCCCTATGTGAAATCCATTTTGATTTCAACACTAAGTTAATTACAACAGCATAAGCATGTTGTTTCTGCATAATACTTGCAACATGAGCTCAATTTCCAGAGCTCTTTTGGACAATGTCTAAAATCCATAAGTCAAAAGCAGAATTCAAAACAGAATGTTCTTTTTTCAGTTTTTTTTTAATTAAAAGGTTCATCTACCTATATGAGATTAATACTAAGTAACAATTACAAATTATTAAAGATTTCCAAATTCAGGCTGGAGAAACTACTTGAGGTCAACAAGTACAGGCCTTTAATCATAGATTGATAAGAAAACTGAGGTCCAGAGAAGTGACATTCCTAACAGCAGTCACAGAGTCAAATTAATGACACAATCTCTGCCAATCTACAGCTTCCCATTATTCTAAATACCTCTGTATCTAACAAAATGTGCTTAAAAACACCAATACCTAAAAAAATGAAGAAACACATACACACACAAAAAAAATATTAAGGCACATTTAAGAACCAAAAACTAGAGAACAGGATAGTGTGCAATAGCAGTCTTTAGAAAACAGAATCTCTTGATGGGATCTCAAAGTTCCAAACCACAAGGACTAAAAAACTCACTCTTTAATCCAATGCAAATGATCAAGTAACTTTTAATAACAAACATTGTTATCAACCACCAAAACTGTTCTTTTTCCCATCTCAATACTATTCATTTACTCAACAAATATCTGAGAGCACAGTATATGCTGGGAACTATGCTAGCTACTGGAGACACCAAAGAACAAAACAAACATGGCCTCTGGCTCTTGTAGTGGACAACTAGGTGTACTTCTCTAACAATACTACACTATGATTTAACAGGATATTTAGCAAACTCCTTCACTGCTCTATACAACTGTAACATTTTCTTCCAACTCTTCCAAACTTATAACAAACCTCACCACACCCCCTCTGCAATATGACTACTTCCTTTGGTAACTCAGCACTCCACTTTACCACAGAAGGTGTTAACCAAAACTGCAACAGATTTTAAAACTGACTTTACCAGTCCTCAGGGCCTCAGGCATATTTCAACAACTCTTCACAGTCCACAGTAAACCTGCCTGGTTCACAACCCTTGTCTCAAATGACTGCTAATTCACCTGCCCTACCCACACTTTACTAGAAACTGAATCAGATGGTGTAGGAGCAATCATGATGCTGGGAAGCACCTTCAGTGGAGCTCTTTGTGGGCCAGAAGCAGGCTTACTGCCTCTTCCTCTCTGCTTCTTTCCTCTGGATTCCTCATTGTATCTCTGGATATACCTCCAGTCAAGCAGCCTCTAATTTTATCAAGTGTGTTCCTCAGAACCTGCACAAATAATTTTTGGCAACAAATCTGTTTCCCCTACATAAATCCATTATATTTTAAGAGATGCTCAATTTTCAGTTTTGTCTCTCAGGCTTCCCCCTCCTCCATACCTCTGAAATTGTATAAACAATTAAAAACACTCTCAGGAGTCGTAATTAGTGGAAGTCTTTTGGAATACCAAAAGTGATCTAAAGCACAAGTTCACAAACCTGGCTGACCAGAATCATTCAGGGAGTTTTGTAAGGATGGATTCCTAGGCCCCATCCTCAGAGATTTTAATTCACCAGGTCCTGCGTGAGGCCCAGGAATCAGCATTTCAGGCAATCCATATTATTTCCGACAACTGGTATTTAATTAGGTAAGGACTGAACTAAAAAAACCTGGCCTACAAGCAGGGAAAACCTCGGTTCTCCTATGGCTTGCCATTAACTAACTACAAGTGGGGCTGCACCAGTGTGCTGGTCACTCGAACAGCTCAGGGTCACCTGAAAATGAGGAAAGTAATTAGAGCTGAAAGAAGCCTTTATAGGGAGCAAATCTAAAATTCTAGAACTCTCCAAACTTAGTTAAATGACACATACTGTACTGGGTTTACTCAAAACAGTGTCATTCTCTAAGCTCTTCTACCCACCCAAGTCACAGGCCTTGGAAAAGAAGACTTTCTGCTTGCCACCAACACACCTTACCTTAGTTGGTCTCTGAGCAAAAAGCAACACGCGTCTTGTCTCTTGCCCTACTGAAACAGCCTTGGATCTGAAAGGGGAAGGTCCCCAACACCTCTTCCTGTACAAGTCACGACTACTTTACATTAAAAAAAAATCATCTCACCTAATTCAACCCAGGCCTCGATGGCACTGTTGTCGACATTATGAGAAACGAGGGTGAAGCTCAACTGGAAGGGCATGCCAACTTTTTTTCCCTCATTGTGAAAAAATACTGTCAGATAACAAAGTGTATGTCAAGATAGTAAAACGGTTAAGAATTTAGGCCTCAGTCTGGAGACGACACCTGACCATCATTACCCAACAATAGCTAATGTGCAAAACTCACAGGTGAGACTATCAGACCCCCGATGAGTTTATTAAAACGGCCATAAAATTTACCCCACTATTTTGAAGGAAGTTTTCCAGCCCAAAGTACAACCAACAATATTATCTTAGGGGTCCTAAGCAGCAGGATTCAATACATTTAGTGGCACGATTTTCATCTGAGAAATTACTCTGCAATCTTTCGTGGAGCTGTTTGACCAGTGTTGCTGAGCTCTCTCAACCGCCTCCGAACCATCCTTCCCACCCAAGCACTACCAGGTCAGGGTGATGCCCTGCTGCACAGTAAGGCGGCCACTCCTCCTTCCCACAAGTCCCGGGCCCGCTCCGCTCGCCCCGGGGGCTCCGTGGCCCCCGACCTCCGGCCTCTCGCCATGGAGGACTCCCACAGACCCGGTCGGGGCGAGGGGCGCACACTCACCTCCCGGGGGTCCGCAGACATTTCCCCGGACGCTGCGATGTAGCGCCTCACACCCCTAGCCCCGTGGGCCCTTCCCCACCAAGTTCAGGAAGGCAGCCCGGGTTGGACCCCGCCTCCTCCGCGCCGAGGGTCCGGGCCGCGCCGGGCCGCTGAGCTCCCGCTCCCCGCGCCTCCCTCTGGCGGCCGCGGCCGCCGCCCGGGCCACCCTCCCCAGGCCACGCACGCCGTCCCCAGCCCCCCGCGGGCCGCCGCCGCCTCCTCAGAGGGTGACAGCCGCCGCACCCGGGCCGAGGCCCGCCCCTCCTCCAGCTCCTCCTGACCCCCGGAGAAGACGGGGCGGGAGGGGGGCCTTCCTTACCGGGCGGCAGGACATGGCGAGGCCCGTCACGGCACGGCCTCCTCCGCCACCCCACAAGGCTCCCAGCCAGGGCCGGCGGGGGGCAGGGCCTGGGCCGCTAGAGCGTCTCGACCGGCTGCTCCTCTGCCACCGCCTTCTCACAACCACAACAACATGGCGGCGGCGGCCACACAGAGCACGCTCCCGAGACAGAGCCGGGCCGCGAGCGGGGGCGCGCGCGCACGCTCGGCCTCTCAGCCGGCGGTCAGGGGAAAAGAGGGCGGGCCGTCGCGGGGGAGGGGGCGCGGTCTGGGCCGATTACCACGCCCCCGGGGTGAGCGGGGTTGCTGATCAGCCGAGCGCCCGGGGCGAGCGAGGGGCTGGCTGGGAAGCGCAGCTGGCGAAGGAGAGAAACGGGTGGGTAATGGGCGAAGAAGAAAACCAAAGGTGGTCCCACAGATTTTTGGGAGGCATCTTTTCCTAGCTCTAGAGCCCTGGGCAAGACAACGCTAGAACAATAGTAGTGTCTTTCACCTGTAATTGTGCTGAGGATAAAACTAATTTAATGTAATGCAAGTTAAGTATAGTGTGCTCAAGGTTCTACTCAATACAATTTCAGACTGCTTGCACCAAAGCACAGCTGGAAGAAGTGAGTTTTCAAACAAGCAAAAAACAAACTTGTAACCCACACTCAATAGCCTGTAGAAGAATTCTACACACCAGGACTGAATTAACCTCAGGCCCTAACATTCACCTCATCAGAGTTACGTTTTAACATTATACCTTTGACTTTTCTGGAAAATGGCTGCGAGAACCAGTCAAATGAAATCTATCCTTGCATTTGTTGTACCGTTTTTTCCACAGTACTCTGTGCAATTATTTACCTGTTTTTCGTGTTTTTTGTCTTTTTATCCCATTCTGAAGTAAAAGCTACTTGAAGATAAAGATCTTTGTTTGGTTCATCACTTTACCCCCAGCACCTAGAACTGCTCATGACAAGCAGTGGGAAATTTCTTGATTAACTAATAGCTAATATTTATACAACTCATCTAATTGAATCTTCACAGCTCGAATAAGTAGATACTGTTATTATCACCATTTTACAGATGAAGAAACTGCAGCCCAGGATAAGATGCACTAAAAGTTTTTTAAAAATCAAACCCAGGGGCTTCCCTGGTGGTGCAGTGGTTAAGAATCCACCTGCCAATGCAGGGGACATGGGTTGGATCCCTGGTCCAGGAAGATCCCACATGCCGCAGAGCAACTAAGCCCGTGCACAACTACTGGAGCCCACGCCCTAGAGCCTGTGCTCCGCAACGAGAAGCCACCACAATGAGAAGCCCGTACACTGCAACGAAGAGTAGCCCCCCACCCCCACTCGCTGCAACCAGAGAAAATCCCGTATGCAGCAACAATGACCCAACGCAACCAAAAAATTAAATAAATAAATTTATTTAAAAATATATATATGTCAAACCCAAACCCAACTGACAACAAAAGCTATGCTCCCACCCACCAGGCTGTACTGCCAACTCTGTGGCATCATTGCCTGAAATAAAATCCCAAGTAAGAAACTACATTAGAGTTCAAAGTTAGGAAAGGCTTTGCTCTACTCTGTCAGCTGAAAAAAAATTGCACAACCTAAAAGTTGAGAATATGTTTTATTCTCAGCCTCTCTGATACCTCTGGGGACTGTTCCAAAGAGGTAAGGGAGGAGCCAGAATATATAGGAATTTTTGCACCAAAAAAACAGGGAGTCAGAACATCAAAAGATTACCGTTAATTGAAGAAAAAACAGACATCTCAAGTTAGTGAATTTAGCACTTTACTATGCATGGGAAGATGCAGGAGTCTGGGCTCATTGAAATCATTTCTTTGATATGCACCTTAACGAACTGGAGCCAGTAACCTGTTTTCTCCACCCTGAATCCCTTGCAGCACCGTAAAGAAGGTGGCTACAATGGCTGATGGCTTGATGGCCACAACATCCTTTGTTTACTGATATAGCAGGCAATATTCTCTGACTACGTTGCTCACAGATACAGGTGCACTTCCTTTCTGATAATTAGTGTTAGGCAGCTGATTGTGTATCTTCTCACCTTGGCTTCCAGAAAGCCCAGGGCTAAATCTGAAGCTCAGTGGTGGCCTGCTGTTGGCCCTTCAAATCCACATATTAACGGTGACTTTCCCTCCCACCTCAACTCTGCACCTTTATTTATAATTTGCTATCCAGCTTTCCTTTTACTGTTATATGATTATAGCCTTTAAAGTATGAGAGAGGAAATAGTAAGTACAAAAGAACAGATGAACAGGTTTTCCCACCTGTTTCTCCTATTGCCCAGTAAAATAAGGTTCCCATCAAGTTCAGTCCCCTCGGGGCACACGTTTTGCTACCTAGGCCTCTGCTCAGGCAATGGGTGAAGGATAGGGTTCCATAGTTGGTGGTCTCTGATTGGATGGAAGCTAGTACCTGACTCCAGGACAGCCCAGCCATAGGCTGGCTAGCTCCCAATGAGTTGTCTCGAGGAAGATATTCAGCCAATATGCTGTTAACATCCACTCACCCAATCCCACAACTCCCCAGGAATACGACGGAAGAAGGCAGACTTTTGGCATATCACTTTGACCTCTTTTTAGACAGAGTGTCACCGTATTTGCCTTTTAACTTGGGCTAAGGAATCCTCAACTAGCATATAGGATGTAGGAGGAATTTCTGTGTGCACATAAGATCACTATTTGCGTGTCCTCATTTGTTTAGATGGGTAGTAATATTAACAAAAGTGAAATATTGATACTGTATAATAAACCATGGCTACATTTGGAAGAGCCACATAACCCAATGAACCAATATTTTCTAAATGACCAATTCATGATGTTACCAAATCATGCATGAATAAAAGATCTATTCAAAATGCAAGATAAACCAATGGAGTTTAGTGTAACTGAGTACAAAAGATTCATTCAAATGAATTTACGCAACTAAACTTTAAGAAACTACCTCTTCTCAAGTTTTAGCATAGTATCAAAAAAAGAATATCCACAACCATCTGAATTGTATGAGGCTGGATTGTCTTCATGTATTTCAATGAAAAAAACTGACAGATTGAATGCAGAAGCAGAAAGGAGAATGCAGAATTCCTGTATTAAGTCAAACTTTAATAAGACCTGCAAATGTGTAAAACAATGCCATTCGTTTTTTTTCCTCTTTTTAATATATTTATTTATTTATTTTTGGCTGCGCTGGGTCTTTGCTGCTGCGCGCGGGCTTTCTCTAGTTGCCGTGAGTGGGGGCTACTCTGTTGCGGTGCATGGGCTTCTCATTGTGGTGGCATCTCGTTGTGGAGCACAGGCTCTAGGCGCTTGGGCTTCAGTAGTTGTGACGCAGGGGCTTAGTTGCTCCATGGCATGTGGGATCTTCCCAGACCAGGGCTCAAACCCATGTATCCTGCATTGGCAGGTGGATTCTTTTTTTTTTTTAACATCTTTATCGGAGTATAATTGCTTTACATTGTTGTGTTAGTTGCTGCTGTATAACAAAGTGAATCAACTCTATGTATACATATATCCCCATATCCCCACGCTCTTGCGTCTCCCTCCCTATCCCACCCCTCTAGGTGGTCACAAAGCACCCAGCTGATCTCCCTGTGCTATGTGGCTGCTTCCCACTAGCTATCTATTTTACATTTGGTAGTGTATATATGTCCATGCCACTCTCTCACTTCGTCTCAGCTTACCCTTCCCCCTCCCCGTGTCCTCAAGTCCATTCTCTATGTCTGCGTCTTTATTCCTGTCCTGGCAGGCGGATTCTTAACCACTGCACCACCAGGGAAGTCCCCAATGCCATTCTTCTCATTAAATTTTTTGTTCTGGAAAATAGAGTCGTTTTTCACAAAAATATGTTATTTATATTACCATGTCATGGGTTTACAATATTATTTTTAAACCATGTTATCTTTTAATGAATATAAGTAATTTAATATCTTGTCAGTTTTAATTCTTAACAAGGTAAATATCAATTGACATACCCTACATAACAAAAGTTCTTCAGGGTCCTCAATAATTTTATTTATTTTATTTTATTTTATTTTATTGGCCGTGCAGCACGGCTTGTAGGGATCCTAGTTCCCTGACCAGGGATTGAACCCGCACCCACTACAGTGGAAGCTCGGAGTCTTAACCACTGGACCACCAGGGAAGTCCCTTTCTTTATTATTATTTATCAATAATTTTAAAGAAACCAACAAGTTTGAGAACCACTGCCATATTCATTGGAGTTACTCAACTGCAAAGACATTTTTAGTCAGCACATAGATTTTTTAATTTAAATAGTTATGTTTAATATATATTTGGAAAAATATAACAGATCAAACTCAGTATCACAGATATCTTTGCTTAGGATGAGACTACATTTATTTATGTAAAGTGAGGAGTTGATTTAAAGAAAAATGTGATATAAATATTAGTACAAAGCTGATTATGTCAAAAATTCATAAGGATAGTACTCAAATGACTGGTCTTTGGGAAACACTGAAATAGTGATGGAGTTTTTTAATTGGGCAGACCTGCCACCAAACCTTCTATGTGGGTGACTTCATATGGAAAATGAATTATTGTGGTGATTAAATAAGTTAGCCTGTGTACAGATGTGCTTCCTGTCCTCCTCCCAGGAAGAGGCACCCAGCAGTCCAGTGTCAGGGAAGACCTGCTGCAATAGGAGGTAGGAGGCCTGGATTCGTGACCCAGCTGAACCACTGACCCACTGCCTGAACTGACCCCACCTTCCAGGCCTCAGTTTTCTCATCCAGAAAATCACAGAGTAGGATGTCATCCTCTCTCTGCAGCCTGCCAGTCCTACCAACCATGCTCTGATTAAAGGATTCAGCTTCAGGAGAATCACAGAATTGCAGCTGGAAAGGACTCAAGAGCTCCAAATATGTCTCTCTGCCAAGACCTCCCCACTCCCCGCACTGATTTCATAAATGAG